ATAACTAGTAACAATGCCGCTCGGCATGTACAATAACCAATACTCTATAATACACAGTTTTTCCAAAACCCGAAATATCGTAAGTCATAAGCTACAGAAGAAAACTAGTATCTCTATACACCAGAGTCTAACAAAAGATGTACGGAAGGTAAATGTCATAGGAGAGAATAAATGGGGTTTTCGAGGTCTGCGGACGTGGCAAATGTACCTTGAAGTCTCTGTACAACATCAAACATTCACAGCTAATAGCAGGGATGATAAGTAGTACCTGGATCTGCACACAAAAATATGTGCAGAAGAGTAGCATGAGTACACCATAATGGTACCCAGTAAGTGCCAAGTCTAACCTCGGTCGAGTAGTGACGAGGTCAGGCCAGGCCCACTAGTATATAATAAATAAAGTAGGAGAATATACAATATAATAAGAGACTAGAATTTAAACAAAGATAACATAGCAAAGTAGCAACGCAAAACACACAGGGGTAAACAACAGGGGATCTCATGAGATACCGTCTCGTAGTCCCAAAATAAATATATAGGGAGAACTCCCGATGAACTGCCTCGTAGTCTCAAAAGTTAATGTGCAGAGAGAACTCTCAAGGAAATGTCTTGTAGTCTCAAAAGTAAATATACAGGAAGAACTTCCGAGGAACCGCCTCATAGTCTCAAAAGTAAATGTACAGAAAAAACTCCCGAGGAACCACCTCGTAGTCTCAAAAGTAAATATACAGAAAAAACTCCCGAGGAACCGCCTCGTAGTCTCAAAAGTAAATGTGCATAAAGAAATCCTGAGGAACTGCCTCGTAGACTCAAAAGTAAACACACAACTCAACCAATAAATACCATAGTTAACAGCAAGAATTTTATAGTTAACGCTAATAAGGAACAAGGAAAAATAGGAAATCAACTAGGCATGCTTCGCAGAGTTCAAATAAGCAGTTAAAACACGTAGACATGCGATATTACACTAAAAGAATAACTACGCATATTGGGATAACTCAATTAAGAATGAAAAACAGACTAATACTTATTTAAACGGTATAAATCAAATTAAAGGAAACAAATCGCTACTCAGTAAAATAAATTAGATTTTTCAACAAATAGCCCGTGTACTACTTCTCACCTCACGTACACGATGCTCATATATCACAACAGTACCAAATCCTAA